ATTTGCCTACAGCGTTTTCTGGGAAGAACCAAGCAGGAAAAGCCAGAAAAATCGGGTGAATTTCTTACCGATTCCATTCGAACGACTCCTGCACCGCGCTTTCCTTGCCCGCACAGTTAATTTGCAATCGGCATGTGTTGTGTTTTCATCCCGTGCATAATTCTCACGTGGACAGGTGATGTGCTGTTGGCCTTCACTTGAGCACTGACAATACCAATGGGCGACTGTCCGTCATTTCTAAACGAGTGGCATACATGTGCTACCACGACCTCACTATGCAAACCTGGGAGTGCGAGACGGAGCTTGTCTTGTAGTTCGGAGTTGTTTCGTTCTGGACTTCGTTTTCTGGAGTTATGATCGACCTGTCCTTGCTGTAACAACGATGCCCCCCATGTTGACATGCTTGAGAGCAAGGATGTCGCAACATGGTTGCTGCGAGACCTCTTCTCTCCGTGGATGCCAAACTGAAAATTTGTAGAATGCTCCGCAATCGCTGTCTCGTCTGAACTGCTGGCAATGAAGCTTTACTGTTAGTGTCCGGAAGTTGTTTCACCTCCTCCCGACTGACCAAACGACCCCCGAAAAGCCGCAACTAACCTCCGAACCTCGGGGCTTGGGTTCGGCCGTCGTTTTTTTTGAGGCGAGTCCCAGAGTCCGAGTATCTAGTGTTGCAGAAGAAGCCCGTTTTCAAGGGCTGTGACCCCGAACACTTCGGATTTAAGGCTCCGCGTGTGTCAATGTGCAAGCCCATGCTATATTTCTTGGCCTGAGGTTCGCGTGTGTAGGTTTGGCTTGGTTGAAAAGTTTGATATGTGCTTTGGCAATATAGATTGTTTTTGTTTCCCATGATGTTTAGTAGGGCTTCGGCAGATACTGGTTCGCGGTTTCGACCCTTTCGTAGACACTGGATATGTTCAGCGATTCGTAGGGTTTAATGTAAAGGGCGTGGTTGGACCGATCTGAGGTTTAAGGCTTGGTGCTCACGGCTTGGAGGGGTGCTAATCAATTGACTGTGAACGTTCCAAAGGAAGTAATGTTACGTATTATATGGGTGGTTGTCAAAATCATGCTCCCTTTTTGGGTCCTTATTATAATACGGCACCTATTATTTAGGGTACCCCAAAAGGGACCATAATTTTGATAACTACCCACATAGGTTTTGTGCGTTTGCCCGAGCCAAAGCCGGCTTAAACAGTCACGCCCAGATCACAAGCTAGCACAGTCCGGTTTAGGGTTTAGGGTGGTTTGAGACGTCGTATCGCGTGCAAAAAAAGTTGGACCACGCATTGGAGGTTTAAATATATGTCGTCCACTCAGGCAGGCTTTAAATACTTGGCCCAGAGATGTTCAATCTTCATAACAGGTTCTGAATATTTCGTACCTTATAACGCTTCCCTACTTGTACCCCCCCCCCCCAAAAAAAAAAAAAACTTCTCCAACAACCCACGGGCAAATATACCCAACCTTGAACACGTGTTGAACCGTCATACAACCCTTATCTATATCGAAGCCTTTTAAGGCCCTGCCGGAACCCTTATATACTTTTCATCTACACTGAAGCCTAAACCCTAAACCCTCTTTATACATAGCCATGGTCCATTTTGTCAACCTTGGCCCAGCCGAGGGCTGACCTGTCTCTGATAGCCAGCACGAAGAGTGACTTCGAGGACGCTGCTGAGGGTGTCCCAAAGGATCCAAGTTATAGTATAGTATATACTTTGGGGGCCCAAATACCTACAAAGTAGCTACCATATTAGTACTTGGACCCTTAGGGTGTTTTTTGGGGTTTATAGGACTTAGGTGATTCGATACTTGATTGCGTTAGACAAGGTGTTGGATTTAGAGTTCTGGGTGCTGTTCTTCGCAGTAGCTGTTTCGAGAGCTATCACGACACATCTCAATCATAGGCTTAGGCATGCACTGCAAACCACCAAATTCAAGACAGGTTCCAGGGGTCGTGCGCGCGGGTAAGGGTAAGGGCGATCCATGAATCGAAGCATCTCCCAATTTGGGCTTTATGGAGACCACAATGTGATTCAGCACGCAGCTTGCCGACTGACCACACAGGAGCTCAAAGCCTTGAAGCCTGCGACACCTCAAAAACCCAAGGGCAACAACAAACTTACATCCTGAAAGCCACAGACACCTCAGCCGGGGTGCCTAGCGCCTCCACCGCCCTCCTCCAGTCACAAATCGAGATCCGAGCCGACAGTTGCATCCCGTCAGCAGATGTGTACTTAAACTACGGGGCTTGATTGACCTTGTAAAATAGCCTAGTTATGCAGATTTGCAGCTGTGCATGGATGTGTACATATACATAAAAATTACAGATGTACAAACACATCTGCGTATACATAACAGATGTTTAACTCTCTCTCTCTCTCTGTGCCAGCCGGCCCTTTCCTGGTGCGTACTCTCGCTGTTAGCCTGGCCGGTTTCGATGATTCCAGGCATGACTCCACTGATGCAAAAATTGAGCTGCATATTCTCAAATGTGCTTTTGTAACAGCAGCATCATGAGCCAGACTACCTATTTAGTTAGAGCATCGGAACACAGGTACTATGCTGAAGTGCTTCAATACCTGTACAAATGCGGCGGTAACAGTAGCAATTGAAAGCACTGTGCATCGAGCATCACTAGCATTATGAGCATCATCACGCTTGAATCAGCCAGACGATCTGCCAGCATTTCTGCTAAACCTGCCGGAGTGGGTGATGTCATGAAGTCTACGACTGCTGCGGCTGCAACAGTACATGCGGCCACTAGTTCCATTAAACTAGTTCTATCAATACTACAACTGTTGCTTGGTCGGTACTTATTCAAACCTGTGCTGCTAATGATGTTCGACAAGCTCTTTGACTACGTGACAAACTTGAAGCCTATGGTGTTGAACCATACAGCCCGTGCTACTGGACCCGAAACCCACGGTTTAGGGTTCAAGGTTCATGGATGGTTTAGAGTTTAGGGTGTAGGCATCAGCATTCGAACCCTTCGAGCCCGCAGCCGCCCACTTCTTGAACATTGGAACCGAACGATTGAGGTGGGAATCGGCTGCTGATGATGGGTGGCTTTCTCCAGTGTCCTCGGACCTACATTGTCTAATGTAGAGCAGAGATGAATTAGAAATACTATGTTGGGGGGCTTCTTGTTGTAGTATGATATAATATACCCCAAAGCTCTATTCTACCCGGTCGGGGGGTTTAGGGTGTTTGTTCGGCTGTTGTTTCTGGCCATGGGGCTGTAGGGTTCGGGGAAGTAGGATTTCGAGGCTTTGGTGCCCTGGGGGCTTCAAAACCTAGGACCTAGGTTTTGCTGAGACCCCTGCTTTTTGCATGTAGGGCTCCCAGGGTAATTACAAAACCCTACACGCGTCGGAACTCGTCTGGCATGTCCGAGTTGCTAGAGCCTAAACCCTAATCAAACCCCAACTCCTGAATCTGCACTTGGTCTCTCGAGCCTAAGCTCCAAAGTCTTGACACCCAAAACCTTCCCTCCCAAGCGCGAAGTACTTTTCAAGCATATCAAGCATTATCCGGACCTGGCAGAGCGCATCGCATCCGAATTGGACAGAGCCACCACGATTTGTCTAAGCTATTTCTTACAGTGCAAGCCTTGCATATCCATTCAGGGAATCCCTACATGGGCTTCATGCAAGGCCCCAGTGGGGCTGACTCTAACCCACTCACGACCATCGGCATTCAAGTTGAGACTACCTAGAGTCCTAGAGCTAGAGGCTCCATTGTAGTTTTTCTTTGTGGCTTATATTGCTTATATGAAAGGATCCTACAAGGTAGCCTCAAAAAAGATCTACGATGGAGCCTATGGGTAAGCTCAACACCAACCAATACACTCTAAGCCCCATGGGGTCAAGACTCTTCCAGGTCACAGCGTGGATGAGCACATCTATCACGAGATGACACTTTGATGTGTTTAGCGGTTCTGGCCTGGGTATGTCATTATGAAGACGTATGGCATCATGAGGTAGAAGCCGTAAGCCCTTGACCCCAAACCCCTAGCACTTTCAACCCTATTTCTGAACTGGCCTCGTCTGAACCGACCCCGTTTGCGTGCCCACTCTGAAGGGCTTCCTCTGCCCAAGGCCGCAGGTGGCCACAGGTATGATTGGGTTTATCATAAGTGTGCTGGAAATTATGCTCTTGGGATCCAGGATGCTTGGGGCTTAGGGTTGCCACAGTTTATGCGTGAAATTTGAACGCCAGTTCAGAGCGTCTCTCCGTGCATAACAGTTAATTAAACTCCTGGTCCTCGCCGGGACTTCTCCAAAATCCTTTCGCCTTAGATTGCATACCTGCAGCTTCCAATGCCTAAAGCCGACAGGTTGGAGATGGATACTAGTGGCAATGACAAGTCAAGCGCAGGGTATACAGTATACAGTCTACATGTCCGAACATGTCCATACCCTAAACCCTAAGCCTTGTCGAGCTTGCGATCAGGCTCCGATGTTGTCTCCAGATGGAGCATTTATGCAGCCTTTATGCACAAGCATCGAACCCTTACATTATATGATGTCAAACGCCACACATGCCCCTGAACCATCCTTGCTTGACGGCTTGGAACTGTCTAGGACAGATGTGTGAGAATCTCGGAAGTTTCAGATTGCAGCGTACTTTGTCTCCTTATGACCACCCGGCACCGTCGGCTCGTCCTACTTCGGAAACTCGACACTCAAAACACCGAAGAAATGAACAATCGGTCTGCTTGGCTCCCCCCCTCCCTTGAACACAGCTGTTTCGGGCTCTGTGGTTCTACAAGGGTGTGTATGATTTTTAGGGTTGCAAGTTGACCTTGAAGCTATTGATGATAGGTGCTTTAGGGATTTATTAGGCTTTCATAGGCCGCAGCCCGAGCGCTTAATTCCAAAACCTCACCACCACAACCCTAAAACCCTAAACCGGCATAAACCCCTGTTATAGCAACCCTGGAAGCCTCAATCCAGATCCCCAGCGCACCGGCCAAAATAGAAGTTTCGTACAATAGAGGATCCAAATGTATAACTCCTAAACCCGAAACCCCAAACCGTTTTAGGATCCGTAGCATGAGAACCGCAAAGCAGAGTACGTTTTGCTTTGGGAAATCGCGGTTACAAGCCGCCGAGGATGGTCCACCCAGCCCTGCAAACCTTTGCCTCCATGCGCTTTGGCATCTTCTTTAGCGCGTTGAGGTGTTGGGTATGTATTTAGGAATTATTGTCTTTCAGGTTTGAGGCATCCTCTGAAAGTTACGACAGGGAATTTTAGGGGTCTCCAGACTTCAATGTAGATCCTAGGTTTGTCTGTAGGATCCGCAATTTCAGGACCCCTAACTCAAGTTCCGCTCTGGTTGAAGAATCTCCACTTCGTGCGTGTTCTGAGCTGTGTGGTTTACCTGCCTGCAGCCTTCGTGTGCGTTTCATGGTGTAGGCTCCAGGATTTATCGCCTTTGTTTAGGGTTTAGGGTTTAGGATTTAGGGGTGGGTCACAGGGCTATCGGGCTAATACAGTTTATATAGGGAACTTACGGGTGGAAGACGTACTAAATCTGGTCGGATTGGGGCAGTGAGCGCATGCCACCGGAAGGGGAGCCCCGCCTCAGCCCGAACCCTAAATATTATAAACCCTAAACAAAGCTTGAATAATTAAACCCTGTCTAAATTCATAACCCCAAGAAGCCCTCGAGGGCGGGGCGGCCGCCGCGC